AGAGAGAGAGAGAGAGAGAGAGAGAGAGGGAGGGAGAGAGAGAGGAGGGATATGAAGCCAGTCTGGCATAATCTTGATGACTATTGAAGGTGGATAACGAATATATGGGGCTCATTATATTATTCTCTCTATTTTTATCATGAAATGTTGATGATATTTTTAAACAGAGGACTTCAGTGCATCATGGTGGATATCATAATGAAGACCGGCATAAAGACTAAGGGAATACAGAGCAAAGAGAATTTGCGAGAACCAGTAAAATAAATCCGCTAAGTTCATGCGTTTTAAATGACATTTCACAGTGGAGTGGGAAGACATATTCACAAATGCTTGCAGCAGGTCCCTGAAAAACGTCATTTCTTTCAACCTCATTTCGTTATAACATTGATGAGGTGCCAAAGGCACTTAACCCTTGCTTATATCAATTAGCCTGTGATAAAGTGGTTTCACTGTTCAGAGTTTCACTTAAAGTCACAGAACCTAATGACGACATTAAGTGAGGACTTACTGTACAATATAAGGTAGGGAATAGTAAGAACAGCAGGGGAGCTTCACACACCAAGCCCCCAGAGTTCAGAGGATGGCCACAAAGGTTTCCTGCTTCCCTTAGTGCTTAATTCACCATGCAGACCTCTCTCTAGCAGACAAGGCCAGCATCCTATCTTGGTTACTCATTAGCTGTGTGACAGGGGCAAGTTTTAACCTTTCTGAGTCTCAGTTTTCTCATCCATAAAATGGGAATAACCCCACGCACTTTTTCAGAGGGCTAATGTGGGGATCAAATAATATAAAGAATGAAAAGTCCCAGCATGATGAACAGTATTCCATTTCCTGGCTCATTAAATACCAGAGACCCTTAGCCCTTGGATAGCTTCAAAGATTAGCAATGTTCAGTCCAAATCTTACACACATACTCACCCCTCCCTCCAGAGTCAAGGCTCTTCACCAAGAAGGCAGCACCTCTACCCTTCATTAGTAGGGAGTGAAAGGGGCAGGCCCATGACTGCAAGGCACACCCAGATGGGCGTGTAGACATGAGTGGAGTGAACAGAGACACGCCCCAATCCTAGGCAGGAGGGATTACCCAGCTGTTCCTCGGCTCCTTGCAGCTCCAGGGAATGGGCCTCCAATGACCAGTTATAACCAGCCTTAGCCCTTCAGCTGGTTCATGCTACAGTGTAACTGGTTGGGTTATTAAAATAGTCACAGGGATGTAAAGTACAGCATAGTGAATATAGTCAACAATGTTGTAATAACTATGTATATGATTTCAGATAGTTACTAGACTTATGGGGTGATCACTTTGTAAGGCATATAAATGTCTAATCACTATGTTGTACACCTGAACTAATATTGTATGTCAACTGTAACTGAAAACTAAATTTAAAAAAAAGCCTTTTACAAGCTTGCTGCCTCTAGCGCGCGCGCACGCACACACACACACACACACACACACACACACACACACACACACACTTAGTCTCAGGCCCCTTCCTAAAGATATAAACAAACAAACAAATAAGTAATGTGTAACTGGTTGGTATTAAGCTAACTGTGATTCTCTTAGAAGAAAGTGATGAGCAGAAAGCCAGAGCCCTGGCCTGAAAAAAGGAGGAGGTAGGGATAAAAGTGATGTCATCTTTTTTTATGACAGTATGCTCAAATTGTCACTTTTAGTCACCTTATAATCATAGCTGATATGCTCCAACACCTGCCCTCCACCTCCCTCCTCCCCCCCCCAAAAAAACTAGAATCACTTCTGAGGCAGAGTTTATTTCAGCTAACACAGTTCTCCACTACTATCCCAGAAGTCAATTGTCAGAGGTGAGACCAAGTCCATGACAGAGGCAAGCTTCCCCTCAAAATAGCACCCAAACACCAGCAGTCAATCTTTTCCTATCAAAGCACTGCCAACACCAGCCATCACCCTTGACTGGAGGACAGGATGGCAGGGGATCTGAGGGTTAAACAACTCGGGCTAACATGGGTCAGCTCCAGTGCTTTACCAAAGCAGCATCCCCGGAATCTGTGGACAGAATCTTTTCAGAGACCGGAAGCCTCCAGTCAGCCCACGATCCTGCAGCACGCACGGCACTTTCCACAGCCACAGGCCACTGGGCAGAGCACTGGACTTAGCTCCAGCACAGCTAAGCCAGGTTTAAATCCTGGCTCAGCCACTTCCTGTGTGTGACTGTAGGCACTCACCCTACCTGAGTCTGTATCCCCATCTCTAAAATCAGGAGGGCAAAACTCTGAGTTTTTGGAGAATAACCATGGAATCGGCTGAAAAGCGCCACAGGGCAAGACCTGTCCCCCAGTAGGCACTTAATCAATCTGTCTTCTCTCTGCCTCAAGGCGAGTTCTTACTGCCATTAGAGTCTCCAAAGCATCAGGTGCTGCTACCCTGGAGACTCAAAGCCCACTCGTTTATTAGTCCACTTGCCCTGGGAGGTGCCAGGGCATCCAGGCATGCAAAAGCCAGAGGGCCAAGCTGCCCCTGGCTTTCTGCTCTTGGGACCTATTCAGAAGGGTCAGGTTAGTGACTTCACCCTACACCTAAAGCACTGAAGACTGCAGCTGAGCGGGCAAGACTGACCACTTCAAGAGGGTCCGCAAGCTGCTGACTGCCCCTTCACCCCCGCAGGGCCTGGCGCACCTCCAGATAAAAGCTCTCTGGCTTTAAGAACCCAGGCTTCAGAATAAACAATGTGGAAGGAGACGCACGTTTACTCTGGTTTCAACACGCCTCTTCCCCATCCAGCAAAGGCCATTCCCAGCTCCGCCGTGAGGCTGGCCTAGGATAAAGTTAACCCCACCTGCTCCGGACTAGAAAGCCGGATCAGTGGTGGCAGAGGCTGCGGACAAGACCCCACTTCTCCCCAGGGCCGGTAGGGCAACGGCAAGGTGGGCGCCGCGGTCGCCCCAGCAGGGGTGCTCCTGAGCTTGGGGTGAACTAGGGTTGCTTGTGAGGCGCGCGGCGCCGGGAGGACAGCGCCGCGGCCCCTCCGGCCACCGCCATGGCCCCGGGCCCCGGACCTGGTCCCAACCAGCAGGCAGCCAGGCCACTGACATTTGGCCCAACTTAACTTCCTGTTGTTAAGGAGGGAGGCGAAGGGCGGGGGGGGCAGTGAAATGTGAGGAAAGAACGCGAAAGGCGCGGAGCCCAAATCGTGGGAAGCAAACTTTGGGGATGATCTTCCGCCCTGGTGGCAGGCGGTACTGTTGGCCCTCGCGCCCACCCCATGTTGACGTTTGGGGATTTTCTGGGCTTAGAATTGCCGGGTTTGGGTGTTAAGGGGAAGAGTAAGAGGTAGTTCGGGGTACGGATGGAAGGCTTTCATTGCATTCGAATCCGTTCAGAGACCGATCCCAGCAGCGCCACCTGCTCGCCCTGCGCCCAGCCGGGTGGATTTGAGGCGGGAGATGCTGCGGCCGCACCTGACCCTCCCGGACGCGGGCCAGGACTCAGAATCCAGGCTCGGCTGGCACGATTCCCGCCCGCGCTCCCCGAAGCCCTGCGTGGTCCCCGCCTTACCGAGAGCCGCGCTAGCCACTGAGCCTCGGGCCAGCTCCTGCCTTTGCCTCGGACGGCGGGCACAGCGACCGGGAACCGCAGGCCGCCTGCGGAGATAGGAGCTAGCAAGGCGGCCCGGAGCAGGCTTAGCCCTGCGAGCTCCCGCAGTTCTGCGCTGCGCGGCCAACAGGGCTGGGAGGCGCCTCCATCGGCAGCGCGGCCAATGACAGAGCAGCCGGGGCGCGACCCCACCCCCGGCCCAAGGGCTGCAACCAATGGCAACGCGGAGCGGGGCCCACCCCCCGCTCCCGCCCGCCCCGCCCCTGTGGGGCCAGCTGTCACCGCGGCTGCCGCGGGCGCACGTGGGCTGCAGCTGGGCCACGAGCACAGGGAGGGGCCCGGCGCTCCCACCTTGACCAGCACAGGTTTGAGACCAGTGTAGAGCTGATAGGGGCGGGGCGTGATGATGCTGCGAGATGAAAACCCAGGTGCTGGTATTCTAGTGTCAAGGGCGAGGCAAGGGCTGGGCCTCAAGCTCCTCCTCGGCCTAGGCAGCTGAAAAGCAAGCCTCATCGTCCCCTTGTGGGCTTAGGGAAGCAGCATAACACTTTCAGTACCAGCTGTAGACCTCCTTCCTTTGCATCTTGACCACCCTGGGCTTCAGCGAACGCCCTGCTAGCTGATAATCTCTTCCCCTCACCTGGACTGCCTTTCCTTAGACTAAAGCTGGTGGGAAGAGGAGGAGTGATGCAGACCACCTATGTTACCTAAGAACCCTCTTCTTTAGGTTGTCAAATGGCTGCCTTCATTTCTGCTCTGCCCCTTCCTGAGTTGCCCATGCCCCACAGCTCCAGGAGCACCCTTCACAGAAAATACGGTGTGAATAGTGTGGGCCCTATTGAGGGGTGCGAAGCAGCTTTGCAAATTGTAAATGCTGCAAACACCTTGCAGTGATCATGAAACAAAGATCCCATGGGCAGGAGTGATGCCTTGCTCACCCCTGGCGCCCAGGGCCCATCATAGGCTTGGCCCAATGTAGGCATCAATAAATGTTCTTGGAACTGAGCTGAGCCAGGGGAGGGGAACAGGCAGGCTTGGGCAGTGAGGAAACAGCACTGTGGCTCCAGGCTGCTGGAATTTCCACAGCACCAGACCACCTTTTCTCTGGAAAGACTATGTTCCCTTGCCAGGTAGGTACAAATAGAGCAGTTGGCCCCCATCAAACATGGGGCTTGTGTTTTTTTCTCTATTTCTTACCACGTGATACTACTCCAGGCCTTTTGGGTTTTCCCAGGGATTGTCCTACCTGGAAGCTCTCTTAGCATCTTTAGAGTTCAATCAACTTCCTGTCGATGAACTTTCAGTAAAAGCCATCCCTGCTCAGTTTGTAAGACTCAGTCAGCAGTGACTTACAGGGGGCAGTTCTCAACTCGGGAGGAACTCTGCCTGTGATGCCAGTTGATGGAGTGTTCTCTATGCACATTATCTCCTTTAGTCCTGGCAATGGCTCTGTAAGGTATGCGTTCTTATTAGCATCCCTTTTCCAGATGTGGAAACTGAGACTCAGTAAGGTAAAGCAGCTTGTCAAGGTCCCGTGGTTAATAAGTATCAGAGTCTGGGTGTGAGCCCAGAGCCATCTGATTCTAGAATCTGCGTGTTTAACCACTGTGCACTGGGGCCTCTGCAGCCCTTCCCATACTTCTAGAGCACTGGACAGGCCAGGTCTATTTCTGAAGGACCTGCTCTGGGGCCTGCCCTGCCCAAACATTCTGTTGCAATCAGGTCTGGGCACTGTCAGAGACAGAAGATGGAACCAACATAGCTCTGTCTTGTACAGTGATACAGAAAAGCGGAGACAGAGAGGAGCTTCAGGAACCAGCATTATCTCTGCCCCCAGCACAAGGCCTCACTGGACACAATGCCTCTTCCTTCTGGCCTAGGCCTGAAACACCCATGCTGGGGATGGAAATGGAGACAGGTCATTCATTCATGGCACACATGCTGTTGTGAGCTGGATGTGGTTCCTGCATTCATGTAGCTGCATTATCACAATGCAGCTGATAAATAATCAGCAATATCTGGTACTATGCAAGCTGTATTCTTGATTACTTTTATTTTTTTATAATTCCCATCACCTTATCTATAGCACAATGTTCTCCAAATTAAACAAATTTAACAGTACTTCAGGAACACTGTGGGCCAACTAAGTTTTACAAAGATAGATAGCATTGCTCGGCACAGAAGTTCTAGTAGTTCAGAAACTAACATTTATCAATGTGTTCCTAGGACCTCTGCCTCCTCTCCCCCATTCTACTCCCAACCTTTTTAACTCAGGGGACTTAGGCAAGAAAGTGGCTGAGGGGTGAGATTTTCCTTGGCTATAGGGTTAGCTGGGAGCTGATGGGAACTAACATGATGAGGGAGGTAAACCTTGGGACCTCTTGAACCAGTAGTCAGAACCCCTCACACAAGCCACCTTTGCTGGCTGTCTCCCTGCGGGGTGGAGAGGAATGGGGACAGGAGGTTACAGCTGCCCCTCCTCTGGACAAAGCAGTAACCGTGGGCTATCCTGTGTCTGGGAGTTTATAAAACTAAGATATTCAAAGAAAAAAAACACCATGCAATGTTAGAACAGACCTTAGAGGAAATATCTAAGCCCCTCACTTAACAAAATAAAGAAATTTAAAAAAAAAAAGGAACTCCAGAGACGGAAAGGCACTTGTGAGCATCACAGGGTGCAAGAGTGGGTTCCAGGCCCCCAATGCCCCTGCCCTGCTCTTAGCATGCCAGGGAAACTCAGCTCCCTTATGCCGCAGCCCAGTATTCTATATTTAATAATCTCTTCCCAGCCCACTCTCCTAGGATGGTTAATGTGTGCTTGTGAAGGTTGTCTGGGAGATGCAGATGGCCACATTAGCATCAGAGGGAGAGAGAAGGAAGGCTCAGATTCACCCCTAAAAATACTTCCATCTCAGGCTGGAAGCAATGAGTCTCACCACCACCACGCGCACCTCCTCCTGAAAGAACTCCAGGTGGTGTTCCCCATCCTCACTGCTTATCCACCTGATGGAGTTCCAACAGGGGGCTGGAGGGATATTAGGATTGGCTTCTTTTTATTTCCAGTCCAGCAATTTGCTTGAAGAAAGGTAATAGTTGAACTAAGTGGATTCCTGATGCAGAGATGTTCTGTAGAAAATCTGTAGAAAATCCAGGGTGGTTCTCATAGCATTTGAGTGACAGGGAAAGGAGTAACCCCTGGTGCCTCCCCCTCTAAATGGAAAAGGGTCTTTGCCCTCTGACCTCTTCCTCACATGCAAATATTCCAGGAAGAGGTAAAATGCCCAAGTTGCTATCTAAGCACTTTGGGCTTTCAGAAGGAAGAGGAAGGCTGGTATCTGTAGAGTCCAGTGACCTTGTTAAATGATGAGAAAAGGCTGATTGGCCCCAGGCCACCTTGGGAACTATCTTTGGAGAAGGACTTTCTAAGCCAGGAAATAGAAACATTTGGACCTTCTGCAAACAGACCCAGGAATGTGTGAGAAGCAAGATCCCTGGGGATCTTGTTCTAGCCATTATCATCCTGATATGCCACAGAATGCACCATTTTTCAGGGATAAGACATAGAAACATGTTCAAGGTCACTGGAAACTCATCAGGCCTACCACACTTACAGTGGCTTTTCTAGAGACCGTTTGGGGAAGAAATGGCACCTGTCAAAATCAGAAATGCCCTGAGGAGGCACCACAGCACTTTGGGGAATGTGTGCATGTTAGCAGCAATGATGAGAAAATCAGTGCTGGAGAGCTGAGGCCACAGGCAGGAGGCAATGTGCCAACCAGAGCAAATAGAGAGGGGCAGAGAGTGAGTGTGCAGAACGAGGGAGGAAGAGACACTGGGTCATAAACGTAGTCTGGTAGCCTGGTGAGACACACACACACACACACACACACACACACACACACACACACACACACACACACACTCAGAGCCAACTGTGAAATCCAAGGGCATAATTCTGGTCCCTAGAGACACAAGAGACTAAACAATGCCACAAAAACCATTGCACTTCACAGAGGGCTGGGCCACACCTGCAGCCCAGGCAGACTCCTATTCATGCAAACCTGAAGCCCATTCTAGAACATACTGCTGTACTGGATCTAGGGAGGCAGCTCCGGAACCCTCCATAGAGCAGCTGGCTAGGGGCAAGGACAACGGCACTCTTCTCTGTTCTAGCCCGTGGAGGGGACTCACTCAAGCTTATCTGCCTATCCATCCATCGTATACCCAACCCACAAATATGTACAATGCAGCTATTCTAAGAGATATCATAGCCGAGCCTTTAGTAGCACAGACTCTGAAGTCAAGGTGCCTGAGTGTGAATCCCAGCTCTCCTACTTATTGTGTGACCTTGGACAAATGACTTAACCTCTCTGTGCAGCAGGTTCCTCACCTGTAACAGGGGCATAGTAAGAGAGAGATATGTGTATAGAACAGTGCCTGATACATAGTAAATAATATATAAAGGTTTTTGAATAAAATAAATTGGGGGCTTATATTAATAAGGGTATAGAGAAGAAGAGTAGATAAGGGGCATTGTTGGGCAACTCCAGGTCAGAGATATGACAACTCCCACCACTAAACTTGTGTGTGTATCTCTCAACCACATTTTGAGGTGGATACTATTATCACTCATACCTTAGAGATGAGAAGATGGAGTCTTGGAGGAGTGAAGTCACTCTCCCAAGATCTTCTAGGAGGCAGCATATGGTAGGGTGCATCTTACTGGCTGACTCCTGAGCCTGTGTGCTTTACACCCTCCTGGCTATAAGACTGGGCAGAGTCCCCAGGCCTAGACAGCCATATTGCCTCAGTGGTGACAGGTCCCACAGACATGCATTTGGTTCAAGCAGATTTCTTCTCAGGATCAGCATTTAGGCATACTAGCAAGAGCAGCTATCTCTTTCCATGCAAGTCAGGGCTACCTGACTTTCTAATGCAAGTCAGGGCTACCACAATGACTGGTGGAGGCAGTGGAGGGAATCTGACTACAATAGAAGAGAAAGAGACTCCTGTGACCGAAGAGTCCAGAAGTAAAAGCTCCAGCTGCCTTTCTTTGCAATTCTCTTGGCTCTGCCCTCCTCTGTGATGGCTTTGTCTTCAGGCTGGTTTTCCTCATTGTAGAACAGTTCTTGTTGCCACAAGCTACCTTG